TACATACATATACACATACATACACGCACACACTCAACACTAGACATGGCCTGTATGTACAGCTGTCTGTAGGTGTGTTGGTTTATGTGTGTGTATATATAATATATTTAATTATGTATTTACCTATTTGCACGTATACACATACACACAACACGACTACTTACTACCACGCATACATATGTACATATGAATGGATATACATGTATGCATGTATGTCCGTATGTATGTGTAATGTATGTACAGATACATAGAGAGCGAGAGAGATGTAGAGTTATGCATACAAATCCAACTACTTATCCACGTATCTATGTACCTACCTACCCACCTGTCTGTCTGTCTGTCTGTCTGTCTGTCTGTCTGCCTGCCTGTCTGTCTGTCTGTCTGTCTGTCTGTCTGTCTGTCTGTCTGTCTGTCCTTCTATCTAAGAGTCTGCCTGTTAATCTATCTATCTGTCGCCTAGTTCTCTATCTGTCCAACCATCTAACTAACTATCTGCCTACCTGTTTAATCTACTTATTTATCTAGGATGTCCAGAAGCTGCAAGCCCGAAATGCCGCTCGCTCCAGTCATGTTGCTGTGCAGAACCATTTGACAGCAAGTGTGCAATGTCTGTGTGCTTGCACTAGCAGGAAATATTTAATATAGGGGCTTAAATAATTACCAACACGGTTTTGGGGTTCCTTATGATAATTATAGTATAGTGGACCCCAAAACCCTATTCAAATTATTAAGCCCCCTACATTAGCCCCGACTGCTTTGGCTCCGGGTCCAAAAGCGGAAATCTTCAACCGTCTCAGATGACTTGCTCAGGGGGATGCGCGAGGGTCGAGACCAGTTCTGCTACCTAAGCGTCAACACCTGCACCTTGGCACGATTCCGGGTTTAGGCCTAATGTTTTAAGGTTCAGGTAGATTTGGGTGACTGCAGGTTCCAGACCAAACTTAATGACATGTCGCTTTTAGGCATTTCTTGATAGAAGGGCTGTCTTCAGACTTTTCAGGTTCTACTTCTGCTAAGTCCTGGAACGGCAACCCAAAACCTCAGCACCCAAAACTTGATGAAGCTTTTATGACACCCCATACAAAACCTGGTACAGCCCAAGGCTTTAGGGTTTAGGGATTTCGGGTGCATGGTTCAAGGTTTGGGGGTGTAGGATTTGTCTAACTTTTGAAGGCCTCCCTTTAAGGCTTCCCGCATGGATTCTCTAGGAGCTGATGGGTGTTACAAGGGCCTGTCTTTCCCTTAGTATAGGGACTTTCATAACTAGGGGTTTCTTTATAGGTTTAGGGTTTAGGGTTTAGGGACCTTAGTATAGGGACTTTCATAACTAGGGGTTTAGGGTTTAGGGTTTAGGGTTTAGGGACTTAAAAAAAGGAAGACCTCCTTCTAGGGGTTTCTTTGTAAGTTTAGGGTTTAGGGATTCTCTGCAGGGGCTGTGTATAGGGAGTTTTATTCGGGGGGTTCTGTAAGGGTCCACGTACTTATCCTTAGGCTCTTATGTGGCAGCTTGAGGGTCAAAAGTGTACCCTGTATAGAATTGAAGGGTCATGGATCCTGTGAGACAATAAACACCTGTTAACCCCGCTAAACTCTTGTCGTGACCTCGTTCGTCTCTGAAGTTGTCCAGGGAAAGCAAACACCCTCCTTCAAAGCCACTCAACCATCTCGATTTACCGGTTTAGGGTTTAGGGTTTAGGGTTTAGGGTTTAGGGTTTAGGGTTTAGGGTTTAGGGTTAACCCTGTCCTTGATCAGCCATTGGACCTACTTGTTCTCTAAACCTCGCACCTCCCCTAATCCCCAAACCCAAAACCCCTGAACCCCTAAACCCGTAAACCCGTAAACCCTCTAAGGTGTCTTGCCGAGTGTCCTGGCCATGCAGCCACCGATCTTAGACTTCGGCGATGTAACAGCTGGCCAGAGGGCTCTCAGGCCCAAGCGAGCTGAGGGTTTTGGTCTGTTTGTTCGGAGTTAGGTTCTAAGGTTCTTAATTTTAGGGTTTAGGGTTTTCAGATTTAAGTTTAGAGTTTGGGTTATAAGGTTTAAGTTTATATACGGTTCTCGGGTTTAGGGTCTAGCAGGTTTTAGGGTTTAGGGTCTGGTAGGGTTTAGGGTCTAGTAGGGTTTAGGGTTTAGTAGGGTTTAGTAGAGTTTAGGGTTTAGTAGGGTTTCGTGTTGAGGGTCTAGTAGGGTTTGGGGCTTAGAGTTTAGAGTGCAAGGTTTGGGCTCTGTCTGTGCGTTCGAAGTTCAGGTTGCTGCTAGAAAGTTGGCTTCAAGAGAAAGTCCGGAGTGAAGGGAGTCGGAATAAGGGATGATATAGAGTTTAGGGTTTAGCGTAAGGAATATACCATAATTCCCAGAGTTTCATGCAGAGTTTATGGTCCTTAAGGTAATGCAGGAGTTGTACTATCAACAGTAGTGATAATCTCCGCCGGCAGCCCTTGTTTGATACTACCATACCGCCAAGACGCTGTTCTACTTCTTGAAGCAATTTGATACCGCACTGCCCCAAAACACTATTTCAAAATAGAAGCTCCTGAAGTGAAGACCTTGGCTCGGGGTTTAGGGTTTAGGGTTTAGGGGTTTAGGGGTTTAGGGTTTAGGGCCTGAAGGTCACAGGAGATTCGAGGCGTTTCCGGCTCGTGGCAGTCATAGGCCCCGCCTCTTCATAGACCTTGGCTTACTAATATCTACCTCAATCTTAGGCTGTGGGCTCTAGGGTAGGTTCCCTAAATGATGAGGTTTTTGCAAGCAAAAGCAGTTGAGGTAGACCTATTGCTCTGCAGGGGATAGTGGAGGCTAAAGGTGCAGAAACCCTACAGCCTAAAGCCCTAAACCCTAAGCCTGAAACCCCAGATGCTTTTTACACCCCGAAACCCTAAACCCTTAAGGTGTAGAAGTTAGTGTCACCGGCTTCGGGTACGACAGCTTAAACTTCTTGTACCTTGATCAGCCCTGCAGGGTTCGGAATGACTAGAAGAGGGTTTCGGGACATGTTGCAGTATATGTAAAATCAGGAACCCTGGGAAAACACTATATAGTAGCTATTATTCAGGCGTCTAGTTTACCAGCAGCACCCTGAGAGTCGGCAGAAGGCTCTATGATTGCATGTTTTTGTGTAGGGTTTCGACCACATAGCCTCTATGAGAAGCTGTTCCCGAGTACGTCAGCAGTACGTAAATCAGCAAATCGGCTTAAAGCCTGCATGCCCGCGTGTCACGAGCCCAAACCCTAAACCCTAAACCCTAAACCCTAAACCCTCAACCCTCAACCCTCAACCCTCAACCCTCAACCCTCAACCCTCAACCCTAAACTAAACCCCTAAACCCTAAACCCTAAGCCCTACTGCACTAAAGGTCTCGAGCCTCAGAAGGTAGTGCCCGGCAGTGACCCTAAGCCCTAAACCCTAAACCCTAAACCCTAAAACCCTAAAACCCTAAACCCGAAACCCTAAACCCAAAGCCTTAAACCCTAAATATACCCTTAACCCTAAACCC